AAATTGGCCAAAACACTAACTAATTCAAGGGATTTTCTCCAAAAATCACACAGCAGACAATTAACACTCAATCACATAAATCCCACTTAAATTAATACTTAAACTTCATCCTAAAGCTACCGGAATTATCCCCATTTTCTGCAGAATTTCGGACACACACAAGGCAGCAATAAATGGCTAATTGAAGCCTTAAAAGGCTATCACATACCATAATTCTCCAGCTAAAACCGGAGCTGCAGATTGGGGGAAGGCCGGCGGCATGGAAGAAGAAAGCTCACGGGCTCACGGGAAATCTATCAAAATTCTGGAGAAACAACATATTTAACATGACCCAAGCTAATTTAAGGCTAAAACAAAGGGATTTAATGGCTGTTTCTTACCCAAAATCCAAGCAATTTGCCCCTACAACAAGAGCAGCCGGCGGACAGAGCAAGGCAGATCCGCATTTTCCAGCAGGGGGAAAGAATTTCTGGGTTCTACATGTGTTGTAGAGCAAGAAAAGAAGGAGAAATCAAGCTTATCTCACCGGTTTCTCAAAGGCTGGTGCCGGGTTCCCCTTTTTTTTTTCCTCGGGTGCCTGCAGCGGGAAGAAAGAAGAAGAAGAGCAGAATCGGGCTGAGAAGAAAGAGGAAAAAGGAGAAAAGAAATAAGCCATCCTTATCCAAATTCTTTTCCCTTTTGAAGTCCCTCAGCTTTCAGAATATTCACATTAGGCCCCAAAACAATCTTTTCTCACAATCAAGTCCTTAACTTCATGCTAAAATTCCCGAAAATTTGGGGTATTACAGTTATACTTAGAGTTGAATCTCTTCTTTACGCAGTAGTAATCTCATGAAGAACTACTCGATTTCATGTTTGAATGTTTTTAGCGTAGAAATCCAAATCTAAGGAGCACACTAAATCAACTAGGGCAAGATTTGTGACTCTCAAATTCGGAAGAGTTGGGAAGTCCTGGAGGCATAGAAGGGTCGACTCTTCGTCACAAGAGTCAACTCTAGGCAACAAACACAATCAACTATAATATTTTATATTTTTATCTAATATATTTATGTAAACTCAAATATATTTACACGTTATTTTTTTTAATTATAAATAAAAAATACTAATGTAATTATATTAACTAATATATAAAATGATAAGTAATTAATATTTAATAGAATAAAAATAATCTATTTAGAAATTGAATTAAAAATTTTTTCTTTTGAAGTGTATGAAACAAGAAATGAGCGGGGAGATGGCAATTTGAAATTTAGTAATATGTATACGTCGATGATAAGTTATTATATTTCAAATTCCAATAACTTTTACCAACATGGGATATATTGCTGATTGGAAGCCAAACCTTTTAGCAACATGAGACATAATGCTGAAAAGTTTTATATATACTACACCC